ATAAGTTTTTACTTACTTTTTATACATGATTAAAATTGTGAAAGTGTTTTGCATAAAAGTGAGAAGCACAATAATATAGTAAATCTCTATAATGCAATATTCGCCGTATAGATATAAAAAGTATTAAAAAAAGTAAAAAAACGTTGTCATTTAGGGAGGAAATAGAATCTTAAACAACGCTTAACAATATACACTAGTGGAAAAATTAAGGGATCAAAAAAAAATCTAAATTTTCGGCGATTTTTCAAATGGCTGTATCTTTGATAAAAATGGTCCTATTGGAGTAAAAAACAAAACAATTTGAAGCTTGAAGTTTCTAATTTTTGGATCTTGCAAAAAAAAATTTTCAAGTAACACGTATCGCGCAATCTTAATATCATCAAAAAAATTTTTCGAAATTTTTTTCGATCTTATTTTTGGTGTACGGACTTGTAGAGTCTACAAGGTCCTGGCATGGTTTTTTAGAAAAAAAAATTATGAAAAAATTTTTTTTTTTTAAATTTTTTCAAACGCTTTCTGCAATAAGAATGTAAAAAAATCAGGAAAAAAATGTTTTTTTAAATTTTTTTACAGATTATGAGCATTTAAAGGCAAAAAAACGTGATCCTTTAATTTTTTAAAAAATTCAATCGAATTAAACAAAAAAACGGCTTGATGGATCGAATTGAAACTCTGTAGGGCTTTTAGGGGTACAATGACCTGTAAAAGGCATTAGTCATTTTCCCAATATTCTCAATGTGGCACGTGACTTTCTAGAAGACCCCTAAAAGTCCTATTTTTTACAATTTTTCAGTCATGTTAAGGATAAAAAAAAATTTTTTTCTAAAAAACCGTGCCAGAATCTTGTAGAGAATTCATTCAAGTTTCTGAAACCCACCGTCGATTTTCTGTGCAACCATTGGTTTCTGAGATATCGATGAACAAAGAGAAAATGATCCATTTTCATTCAAAGTCCGATAGCTCAGGGAGAAATGGTCGTATCGAGACCAAAAAAAAAAAAGAAATTGAAGCTAAATGAACAACCTATCTAATCCATAAGGTGGTTAAGTTGGAAACATTTTTTTCAAGTCCGTACACCAAAAATAATATCGAAAAAAATTTCGAAAAATTTTTTTTCATGATATTCATTAAGATTGGGCGATACGTGTTACTTGATTTTTTTTTGCAAGATCTAAAAAATAGAAACTTCGAGCTTCAAATTGCTTTTTTTTACTCCAATACGACCATTTTTATCAAAGATTTGAAAAATCGCCGAAAATTTAGATTTTTTTTTGATCCCTTAATTTTTTCCACTAGTTTATTTTAATATCAAAATCCAGAATATCTGCTGAACTGATATATTGTGTATTAATTTAATTAGAACATCCCGTATCTCGAAAATAAAGAAATTTCTATAAAAAAATGACATAGTTTCACCTTGTATATCAGTGAAAATGTTATAGTATAAAATGCGCCTTAATGATATAGTAATTACTGAAGACATTATAGTTCGTGACATAAAAACTCCGCTCAAATGCACGATAAAAGGAATTTGATATCAAAGAAAGACTTTCACTTCAGCCATGATCGTACATGATGAGAATGGGTAACACTGATTTACGACCACTTAGTTTTGAATTCACGACATTTTCTGATAGTTACAATAAATTATATACAGGATGAGGTAGAGTGACAACTATAATATTCATGCATAGTATAATAAATTGTAAGACAATTTCTGAATTTAAATTTGTTTATTTGTTTATTTTAAATCTTATAGTTCTATTTAAAGATATTTTAGTTATATGAAAAAATATTTTAGTTGCATAAAAAAAGAACAAATATTAGGCAAAAAATGACAGAAGCAAAAAATACAATAGTTAAACCAATTTTCAAATAATCATTTAAAAAATTGAGATCTTAGATCGTGTTAGTAAAATTTTGTTACCTTAAAAAGTTATGGATCTTGACAAATTTTATTTTGTCTTTATAACGATGCTTTTTAATGATCCATTCTCATAATAAATAAAAATAGCATAATAATACATTTGCGTTTTCCTAAAAAATGTAACAAAAAATACATTAAAAAATACAAATATTCTGACTGAAACATGTATCTAAAAGAAAAAAAAAATAATCAAAAGGTATTAAAAAAATAGAATCCAATTTTAAAAAAGGCCATTAACTTTTTAAAGAAAAATTTTATTAAAGTAACTAATGTAAATAGATTTTATTTCCATCCACAGAAGTTAACTTTTAAAACATATCTCATTTGGCATGTTTCTTATTGGTTGTGAGGTACATTTTCCTCAATTTTTATATAACTTTGTGAAAATATAGTATATTAATATATAAATTAACAATCACTCTCAATTACTATGTTTATTTTGGTATCTTGTAAAAAATCTAAATTTTGCAAAATTACTTTCCGTAAACTTTTACAATCCTGAACAAAACCCCACTTTCATATAGAACTGTACTCCACAACGACAAATAGTGCGTATCATTATCGGCTTAATTTTGTTGCTGTCGTATTTTGGATAATTTAAACTGTCTACCACCCATTCAGTTGATGAAGTGGCAAAAAGGGTAAATAATATAGTATTTCGTTTAGGGTTTTATAACTTTTTAATAATACCTGTTGTAACTGTACTAGATGCGCCCCTGTGTACTTTTAAGATGGCTGCGTACAATTATTCACTTCGTTGCAATATATGTAAAAGGATCGTAATGTAGTACGGTTCATCTAATTCACTATTACAGGTAAATGACATTGATATTCACAAAGAAACAAAACTTTAAAAAAATTGTAATAAATACTTTTTACTAAAGACTTGAAAAAATTATAAAAAACGTTTCACATCAGAAATTAGTAAATTTGTTTATTTATTTTTTATTTAATGCATTTTATAAAACAGCAAAAAGTTTTTTAAAACAAACTAGTTTTACGTACAATAAGTAGCACATGCCTATTCACATATCAAAATTACTTGTTATTATGCAAAAATATGTATTTAAAAAAACACTCGAAAATATTTGACACTTCATTAATACTGACATCATAAAAATACGCTGACTAAAATAACAAGTCCCAAAGTCGTACAAAAGCAAACTATTTTTACAAAATTATATTCCATGGCAGTTTTGCTTCTGCCACTCCGTTAGTTCATACAGTTGCCTTAAAACGATAAGTAACAATTGGCAACACTGATAAATTCAAAAAGCCTCCAGTGGTGGCGTAAAAAAGAGTTTAAGACCATTTTGATTTAAAAAAAAATAATTCCAGATTAATATACATGTATATTACCTCTAAGAAACCGACCTTCCTTAAAATTACACCTTGTATAAAGAGTGTGTCCGTGTCACTACAGTATGGTGTGATAAAAGTTTTAATTAATCAAAATGTTTAATAAATAATTATCGACGATTTTTAGAGCTAAATTGTCACACAACTTGAACTACGACAATCTGAACAATTTTACCCGAGGGCAATAGGCTAGGAAATATAGAGTTGGATGCGACTTTTTGTTTCGGCAAGCTGAATTTATCACTATAGATGCTAAATATTATGTACAATAACATATTAGTTTCCAAAGTCATAAAAATGAGGGGGAAGATTGTTTACAGGGTGGTTAATTCTATAACTTTTTTCCGTTCATTTCCACGAGAAAACAGTGAAGTACTTTTTTTTGTCTTCAAAAAACCTACAAAACTAGCCCTCGAGCGTCAAAAAATATTAGAAGAAGTTTATTTATGACTTTTGAATTAAACATTTATAAACTGCTTTATTATTACCAGAACGTTTTGGCATCGCATCCTCTCATTTCTTATCACTGTCTAATAACTCAAACGAAATCTGGAATCGAAGTTGAATAGTTTACAAGTTATGGCCTTGGAAACAAATTAACTAATTATTAGTCTGGACGATCCCGAACATCTTCCACAATCGCACTGATTTTTTTCATGGTAGATTTCATAACAATTCATTGAAATCTATATATTTTTTTTAAATTTCAAATTTGCAACCTGTAATTTTTTTTTATTTTTAGCCTTAGTTGCAAAATGAAATATACGACGCACGCGCGTGATATAGTTATGTATTATTACATATTCGGAGAGCTTATGAAAAGAGCTTTAAGTTAAAAAAAAATCGTCAAGATTCGTTGAAAAACAACGGAGTTACAGACTGTCAAATATATTATTTTCAAGCAAATTTCCGCTTTTTTAACGGCAGGACTATGAATTATCGTCATTTTCTTCGGCCTCGCTGTCGTTCGCTTCCCCCACCCTTCCGCCGCGCCACGGCTCGTCGAAAATCAAGCGACCCATTTAGCATCTACAGTGATAAATTCAGCTTGCCGAAACAAAAAGTCGTAAAATGGTAATTTCCCAGCTCTTTTTCCTGGCCTACAAAATCGTGCAGGATGAACGAACGAAGTGTATAAAGCTTCTTAATATATACAATTAAATGCAGCTAACTTTTTACATAACGAATAGTACCAATCCATAAATTCGAAGGTACTTAACACATAACATACTTGATTTCTGTTATTTATGTCCGTCGATGGCAATAAATTCCAACGGTAAAATCAAATACACATGCCAATTATTACAAAAAAAAAACAATCGTTAACGAAGTTTTGAAAGCTGACGAAATCTTAATTAAAGTAATGTGTTTTTAGAAAACGGCCATATGGTGTAAACAAATATATCAAGACTAAAAAAGATAATTAAATGTCAACTCATAGACAGAGAAAGTCTTGCCGCAAATAATTATCACCTGTCTTTAATAGATTTTCAATTACTGTTATGCGGAGAATGTGACTGAAAGGGACAGTATTGAAAAATTCCCTCAGTTCCCACACTGAGAGAAATATTTCGGTGAAGTTTGGAAAAATTGTTTTATTATCTATCTAAAAGTTGGGACTTGTTATTTATTATATGACAAAGCAATCTATTGTACCTTCAACTGTAATTATTTGTCTCATTGAACGTATTTCATTCGTTTCTATTTCGTTAAGGATGCTACTGTAAAAAGGTACAATGCGTGGACAATGGTCACTTCTACAGAGACCCAAGGCGACCAGCTCACAAAATGTGGACAGCGGACGAATGCTCCAAGTATTTTCTGTGTCTAGAGGGAGAGGTTTTCGAGTTCAGGTGTTCTGCGGGTCTTCTTTTCGACGTCAACAGACAGATATGTGACTTCAAATTGAACGTGGACAACTGCGACATCACATCAGGTATATTACAGTTTTAAATTGGTGACATTCTAATAACAATACTTGTTCGCAGAAGTTATAATTCCAAAACCCCTACTAGATAAAGCCCAATGTCCTGAAAAGGATCAACTGGGGTGCGCTGATGGCACTTGCCTTCCACAAGACTATTTCTGTGACGGTTCATTGGATTGTCCAGATGGAAGCGATGAAGGATACTGCAATGCAAACGATGATCCTAACGGAGCAACTCCTTGCAACTCTTCTTGTATCTTGCCCAATTGTTTCTGCTCTAAAGACGGTAAGTGACAGATTGTGTCGAAGACTAAATCAAATTATTTCACTTCTAATTATATAGTACTTACTTACAATATCCAATTGCAAAGAGAAACCTAGAATTTAATCTAGGAACATGACAAAATCTTTTAAACTAATTAATTTTCATTTAATGTATTATTGACAATTTTAAAAAGAATATGATTTAAGACATTCGCCTGCAACAAATACCGTTACAATTAAAACAAGAAAGGAATTATTCCTGAAGTAATAAATAACAAACAAGAGTGGCCCCAGAGATGACCTTTGGGGAACCAATGAAGATTGTTGAAATTTACTTGTTTGGAAGTCATGATACTGTACAGACTAGTACCCGAAACAAGACTTGAACAAAGATAACCCTGTTAGTAGATTGTAGTCAAGAATTTAGAAAAATAGGTACATACAACTTCAACCTGGTTTCTCGTATCTAAAGCTTCAGCTATAAATTGGGTTTTTCAACAAGATTTGAGGTAGTTGAAGGAACTCTAATAAATCCATGTTGGTACAGAGATATCAATTTTCCATATTTATTGAATATTCTTAGATATAATTATAGAATTAAATGTAATTTTTAAATGTTTTGCAAAGCAAGGTTTGGTATCTTATTAAAAATGCTGAAATTAGATCAGGTTCTATTGTAAATTACCTTTCATTTTATTAATATTATGTCACATACTCAATAAGCTCGAAAATACAAACAGTATTAGAGTCAACAGAGTCAATCGAATGTATTACTATTTTGACTATGACAAGGTAAAAGCGAATCAGAAAAATGATTGGCAAGAGCATTGATAATATCAGCAGGATTATTTGATGGAAATGAGGTATAACTACGAGTAGATCTTGAATTGGCACAAGACCCAAACCTTCTAGGATTTATGAGAAAGATCACCCTCAAATGAATTTAAATAGTTTTTGAAGGCCAAACAATGCGCGGCCATTTCGTTTGGACTTCATTTGTTTTTCTACTATCATTTTCGAAAAATTTATAAAAAATCGTGCAATTTTTGTATTTCACATTTTTTATAACTCTAAAAACAAAAGGTTAATATAGTGAATCACACTGTACAATACATTTTCAGGTACCAAGATCCCAGGGAATCTACATCCTTCCCAAGTACCCCAAATGATCGTCCTAACCTTTGACGACGCTGTAAACGATGAAAACTGGGAACTTTACAGTAAAACTTTGTTTCCACCAGACCGCCAGAATCCCAACGGTTGTCCCATACGAAGCACATTCTTCGTCAGCCACCAATACAACAATTACCAGTACACACAGAAGCTTTGGAACGACGGTCACGAGATTGCAGTACATTCCATCACGTAAATACGATACATTTTTACCATAAACATCTACATGGAGTGATACATACATTTTTTTTATTAGACATAGGGGTCCTGAAGACTGGTGGTCATTCAACGCAACCATTGAGGACTGGTTCGACGAAATGGTTGGTCAAGCGAATATCTTGAACAGGTTCTCTAGAATCAAAATGGAGGACGTACGGGGGCTAAGGGTGCCTTTCTTGAGGGTAGGGTGGAATAGACAGTTCTTGATGATGAAAGAGTTCGGTTTCCTCTACGACAGTTCTATGGTGGCCCCTTTTTCAAATCCTCCTTTGTGGCCTTATACCTTAGACCATAAAATGCCTCATAAATGTACAGGTATGAGTTCCAATAAGAAAGTTTGATCGTATCCTGTTTATACCTAAAACACACTTTGGGTGAGTTGCAAAAATACTGGGGTAGTTCATAGTTCAAGTATTTTTCATCATCTCAACCCAGTTTTTTTTATGAATAGACGGAGCACTCTGTGTATAAGAGTGTCTAGAGTCTGAAGTCATACAGAAGAAACTATTTACTTAACAATGTTTTAGGAAATAAGCAACTGTGTCCCTCGAGATCTTATCCAGGAGTGTGGGAGCTACCTATGAATCAGTTAGAAGTTGGTGACTTTACTTGCGCAATGGTAGACTCTTGTCCTCCAAATCTATCAGGAGATGATGTGTACAAAATGCTCATACACAACTTCAAGAGACATTACTTGAGCAACAGGGCACCTTACGGGTTATATTTCCACTCCACCTGGTTCAAAAAGAGTGAATATCTCCACGCTTTTCAGGTGAATATTTTCATTTTATTTGTAGAAACCACACAAAATTTCCCCGACTACATGTACTATTCATTTTTCTTGAAAATTCTTGTAAATTTCAGAATTTCACGCGAGACGTTCTACAACAGCAAGACGCCTGGTTTGTTACCAATTGGCAGGCGCTGCAGTGGATAAAGAAGCCGAAACCTTTGGACCAACTTCAGAACTTTGGACCCTGGGGTTGTAGGAAGAAGCTAGACAACTCAGAGGTGGCTTGCAGCATTCCAAATATATGCAAGCTGCACAGCAGGGTTTTTCAACAAGACAGATACCTCTATACGTGTACAAAGTGTCCACAGAAGTATCCCTGGATAAGAAACGAATTTGGACTAGATTGAGGATAGTTTAGGATGTGCAATATTCTGACACGTAATTTATTTATTGTTTTAATGTGTTGTTATTTTTTTGTATTAAAGATTTATGTTAATTTAAAGTAGTTTCAATTGCAATGCTTGTGAACTCAAAACATAAACAATAATAAAAACAGAAAATAAACAAATAGAAAAGGGACACATCCCTGCAACCTACGCCACTGATCAGTTATGCAATATACATAATTTGGCCACGGTTTGATAAACTGTAAAAAGATTATTCGTTTAAAGTTAATGTGTTGGCGAGACACCTTCAATAAAAACGTCGACAAAAATTGTTATTGTTCAAATAAAAATTAATAGCGTACTAATTGTCACATTCAAAACTACTTACATAATCATGATTAGGCACAAATTCTCATTATATAAAAACGTTTGTGGCTACCAATAAAGATAAGCGAGTCTACAGTAGTATTAGCGAACCAAAATAACAATTGTCTATTGAATTTAGGACTATGTGTGGAGTTAAATTAATAGTTGTTTTAATGTTAACAAATTTGAGTCTGGTGGAAAATTTTAAGGAAGGTAAGTAACTTTAAAGTTATCCAGGCAAAAAAACTGTACCTACGTACCTGTGTGTTCAAGTTTACAATTAGTAGTACGAGTTTTATGGCTTTGTAGGTTAAATTTTTATTCTGTTGACAACACCACGCAGTGAAACGTACCTATGCCAGTGTCGGCGCATGAACAAACGAAGCAAGGACTGTACATTTTATTTTTTCCGTTTAGGGAATATACAGGGTGTTCCGAAATTCATGCAACAAAATTTGGTCACAGATTCTTAAGACAAATTTACGGGAACCGTATTTTTTATTTTTGCCAACTGGCCCCCTCTTTTGGAGCTACAGCCCCCTGAAGTCCGCCCTTAAAAATACTCTTTTTTTTATATCTCAGCACCCTGTTGTAAGAGAATCACACACAGGGGTTTTATGATATGTGGAATCTAATGGAGCTACGTTTTTTGGCGGGGAACCCCCTTAAGACAATTTTTCGTGGGCCCCCTTATTTTTGGAGCCAAAAAAATTTGGTCGCATATTTAAATTTCTTAAAAATTATCAGTCCACTAGAAAGCCATTATATTTAGAACCCTTTTGTCTCTTTATGCTTTTTTCGTAAAACGCAATGTTGTCGAGAAAAATGTCAAAATGTGATCGAATGCATATCGTGATTCGCCATTTTCCTCAAAAACATTGCATTTTACGAAACAAACATCAAGAGACAAAAAAGTTTCTAAATTCAATGGCTTTCTAGGTAACTAATAATTTAAAAAAAAAATAAATTTGCGACCAAATTTTTTTGATTCCAAAGACAAGGGCCCACGAAAAAGTGTCTTAAGGGGGTATATCCCCAAAAAGCGTAGCACTGTGAGATTCCACATGTCATAAAACCCCTGTGTACCAAATTTAGTGATTCTCGTACAACAAGGTTTTGAGATATAAAAAAGACTTCTTAGAGGCATATTTCAGGGAGCTGTAACTCCGAAAGAGGGGGCCAGTTGGCAAAAAAAAAAAATACGGGTCCCCTAAATTTGTCTTAAGAATCTATGCTCAAATTTTGTTGCATGAATTTCGGGACACCCTGTATATGTTTTTATATCAGTATAGAATTTGGTTTCGGTGATTATTTACTATAATGTAAAACTTTCAAAAATACAGAAAACTTATCTACCCCCCTATTTTCCAGTGTCGGTAGATCGTAGTTTTCGAAAATATATATTTTTTTAAATTTTGACTTGTTCTCGTCACACAACAGCCGAATTCTCAGTGTTTATAATATTGTTCGGCTTATACATCTTTTAAAACATATCATTCCCATGGGAACATATTTTCTGAATTATGAAAAAAAAAGAAATATATTTTATCTGCTCCCACTATAGTAAATTAGTAACATTTATAATTATTCCTCTGGCGTTCATTAATTCTCACATTTTCCTCAAAATGATTTGACCGCTCCATTTCAGTCACTGGAGGCTCCATATTATCTGACTGATCCATTAAAACAGCATAATGCGACGTACTGCTAGAACCTGGAGTTGAAGTGTTATTGCAAAAAATCCTGCTGGCTATTTCATTTTTGTTACTTAAACTGACTGAGGTTAGGTTAACTGATCAACTCCTGTATTAGCCAGTAACGTTGCCGATGTTCTTCGGAATGAATGGCCTGTATATGTTTTAGGATGTTCTAGTTTCAAAAACTGTGCAATCTTATTAGGAATCATAGAAATGGTATTTTTGCCGACTGGTTGGTTGTAACATCTATCTGCTTTAGTTTTAATTTCCAATCTAATCTTGATATATTTCTTGAGAATTTCTAGGTGAGAAACAGGACCCAGACGAGAAGTAATTGTAAACGTACGTGACATGCCATTTTTAGAATCTGGAATTGTAACTACAATAATGTCATCGAAATTTTTGAAATTGACGTTGTGCAAAGTAAGTTTGCATAACTCATCAGAATGCCTAAGACCGTCAGTGCGTCACTACCTCCATTAGCAAATCTGTGTTATCGGGTGCCTGAACGAGAAAATCGTTGATTTGTTCTCTTGTAAAAATGTTTGACTTTTTAGGTGTCTTACGTTTCAAAAATGCTCTCAGCTTGGGGTATTTTGATATATCCACGTTCTCCTCTATGAAAATAGTTGACTTAATCATTTGATATTCGCTCCACAAACTGGCCGGTGACTTTAAAGTTCTTCACTTCTCCATGAAATATGTTAGCAGTGACATTTCAGAAACACCAGTATTTTTGTTCTGGCTCCACTCTTTGAAATTTCTATATGCTCTGCACTTTCTATTTGAAAATCACTCATTTAGAAATAATAATTCGAAACCAGTAAAATTGCAACTTTTATGTAGCTTTGTTTATAAACACCTCAGGAGCGACAAAATCCAAACAACCAAGGCAACTTTGCAAGATTTCGGAAAATGTCAAAATGAATTGATTAAGAAATGTCAAAAAATAAAACCTAATATTTATGTCGTGAACCATAAAGAACTGTGGGAGCAGATCAAATGTTATACACCACGCAGCAGTTACGTATAATTTACCCCTATTGGCAGCCCTCGCTCCGCTCGGGCGCAAAATCGTCCTCGACTGATAAATAATACTTACCTCCTTTGTGGTGTAAATAAGTATATTTTAATATTATGTTTATATAATCCCTTGGCATTAAATCAGTCATTACTATTTCATGATGTCATTGGACGGTCCTTCGTCTGTATCATCTCCTGAAATAAGATTATTAAGTACCACAAATTTATTTTTATGGACAACAGTTCTATTGAAAAAATGTGTTGGTAAATTGAAAGAAATATATTTATATTATTTTAACTATTATGTTTATTTGGCCAGTAACTTATTTTTATAATTGAACGCAGCAAATAAATGACATATTATATGAAAAGTTAACCCTAACCTAACTTTATACAGATAAAATTTTACATTAGGTTAGGTCAGGTTAAGTTATTATGTAATAATATAAATCAGATGTTTTATAAATTTTTATTTATTTAAAAAACTTAAGCCCAGTACTTTGAGTCTCGGTTAAGGCTTGATTAACTAATCAGGCGATTAGACTGTGATTTTCATTTATAAAATAAATCGGTATATGTACAGTCTAATCGCCCGATCAGTTAATCAAGCTTTAATCGAGACTCAAAGTACCGGGCCTTAACCTTGCATGTAACTTTATATAGATAGATAGATAAATTTCAGGGTACTCAGGTAAGTCTGATTTTATATGTTATATAAATACAAATTTAGCCTTATATAGGCCTTTTTTAAATAGGCCCATTTAGTTTCCAAAGTTCGATTAGGTCGGGTCGTTTATATTTATTAAATAAATAAAAATTTAACTTCATGTAAAATAGAATCCTGAACATTGTTTTCCTCGAAAACGTTTAACTGCAGAAAAACAAATTCAGATTTGTGTACAGCACCTAGAAAATACTGAAGTAGGCCAAATTTTATGCATGTTTGATTGAAATCTCCATCAATTATCAAGTCTCTCACATTGCCAAAGTTGTGTAACTATTATTGCGCTTAGTTTATACTAACAATCAAAGGATTATGTGGGAGAAGAACCGGCATATTACTATTATATCGTTGTGTATTTTTTTTAGATCAGGCTCACTGGAAGTCATTAGGAGAGGAAGAATTACAGAGAGCGTTGAATAAAAAAATCACAGAAGGCGTTGCAAAGAACGTCATTCTGTTCATAGGGGATGGAATGGGCCCTACGACAGTTACTAGTTCCAGAATTTACGGGAAAGGAGAAAGCGGACATTTAACGTGGGAAAAATTTAACAATATAGGCGTAATAAAGGTATTTAGAAATAAATGTTAAGTATCAGTTAGTTAATAATTTATTTAAATAATATATTTTTTAATGTGTTTATTTTTGTAGACGTATTCTGCCAACAAACTGGTTCCAGATTCCTGCAGCACCGCCACAGCCCTCTTCTGCGGAGTCAAAGCGAACCACAAGACAGCCGGTGTGGACGCCACTGTCGAAGTAGACGACTGCGAAGCGTCCTTGGTGCCGGAAGCCCGATTGGACAGTTTGATAACGTGGGCTCAGCAAGCGGGAAAATCAACAGGTAACAGAATAACCAAAAATAGCAGTTGCAGCTAAAAAAATTATAATCGGTACAACCTTTTACCGACCAAAACAAGAAAGATTCGTAATAGATACCCTAGCGGACATTTTAAATTAGTTTGATAGCTATTTTGAAACGAATGTTACTAGAAGTTACCAATCTGGTTCCCTCTAGCGAGAAACTGTGGCGGAAGAATCAATAACGGTGTCGTGCATTCGAGCAAATACTGCGAAAAGTGTGGCTGTGTGTGCGAGAGAGACAAGTATCTCAGTACATGCTGTCTCACTCTGGCACGCACGCCCTGCGGGTGCCAATGAGCGCGAGCATTCATTTCCAACCAATCGCGTGCGTGCTGGAGTGAGACAACATGTACTGAGATACTGTCTGTCTCTTTCGCACACCCAGCCACACTTTTCCCAATGGCATGCTACCTCGAGTAATCGCCAAGTGTCGCGCGGAGTATTCTACAGTTCTCTGTATTAAGGAAGCAGAAATTGATATATTAGTTAGCTAGTTAACTTATCATGTAGTAGATAGCATGATTATAAAGTTAATTCATTCCACGTGATAAAATTTAACGCAAGTAAAATAACATAGACGTATTATTGTTATGGTTTAGTTTTAGTATCAAACTATGGTTAACAAAATAATTTAAAATTTATTATGTCACTTTGGCACAACTTCAAGAGTTGCTTAGCGCGGATACGCCTCCACAGTTAGGAACTTTGCATTGAGTACCATGACGCATACTCCTAGACCAAGTAAATTAAATTTTTTACTCGAAAAAAGTCCTATCCGCGAGATTATTGTAAAATTGTCTAAAGAAACATAATACAAGACATCTCTCATCTCGTGAGTCAATCACTTTTATTAGCTAACTTTTCTATTTAAACAAATAGTGACTCTCAGACAGCTTATAGGGAGTAAAATTATCTACAAAATGAGACCTGTTAAATTAAAGTCGGTTAATAAACAAAAAAGTTATTGCAAAAAAAACAAGAAAAGTGCCCATTTTTTAATTTGTTTATAACTATCGCATTTATTGTTAAAATTTTATAAAACCTATGACAAGTTGAGGGTTTTGTCATACTTCAGAAGTGTGCCAAAAGTGGGCGCTGTAAGTGCATTAGTTTTTGCACAATTCTATTTATTTATAACGGAGGCTCAAAAAGTTATGAACTTTAAGCCTCTGTATAGGCGTTAATTTTCAACCAAACATGATTCTGAAAGCGTCATTGTAATCTTAAAGACGCAATTAAGCGACCTATTAAAAAATATCACCGTTTTTTTGACATTAACATTCTCAAATTGTGCATTAAAAAACCGTGCGTTTTTCGCTTATAAACAATTTGAATAACATTGTTGCTATTTACGCTCACCGAAAATAAATGCAATGGATAGCTGGCAAAAAATACAGTTTTAAAATAAAAAAAGTACCCTCTACGACCAACAAGAGCCAAGATAAGATTTTTTTAAAAAACGTAGCGCCATTGTTTATAAATATTAAGACTTGAATTTTTCGCAAAATACAGTTTAAATTGATGCCCGCTGTAAATTTTGCAATATCTCGGCTTTTATTCATCGTAGAAACTTATTTTTTTTAAACTGGGGTAGCTCGACGAAAAAATAACAATGGGTATATTTTCGAATTCGTAGAATATCCCTGAACCCCAGAAAATATACTTTTATACTCATTTTTTTTTTAATTTTCAAATATGTCACAAAAATTATTGTTAAACGAAATATTAATTAAAATTTCAATTTCGGAATTATTTTACTATTATTAAATAAATAAATGAACCTATCATTAATTTAAAATTATCTTTTACATATTAAGGCAAAGTAAACTTGTTTTTTCAATATTTTGTTAGCTAATTAATTACGATTTAAATGTAAAATTAAAGTAAAAATTCACAAATTATTTTCAAATTTTATAACTATATCCCTGTCAAACCACTGTTGTTCAAACTTTAAGTGATGAGAGGAAATGGATCTCTTTTAAAGTGACTTGAGGACTATTAAAAGAAATTTCTGACCCTTCTGGTGTTCCCCTACTTCTTAATTGTAAATGTAAATTGTATCGTTTGTCTAAGATTGCATTATTTGTTCCTTCCAGGAATACCCATTCTGTATTTATTCAACTGACGCTTGGAACAAATCGGAACAGTGTATATATCCACCTTAGTTTAATTAAAACCTAACTTTTAAAATTCGGGGGAAATATAAATGTTTTAATAAGAGATTGAGAATACACAAGCAATACATATTCTGTCAACAAAGTATCCGGAATTCGTCAATAAAACACAATATATTCCATTATCAACAAAATTTATGTTATCTCCTTCAAAATGAGCTCCATTTGAATACACTTTTTCCATCGAATAACCCAGTCGTCAAAACACTTTTGAGACGCATATTCCGGTATGCATTTCAACTCCTTCAGCGATTTTTGTTTTATGGCTTCTGACTCAAAACGTGTTCCAAGTGGCAATTTATGATTGGTCAAAAATTCATTGATAACTGTTACTATGTTTGATGGTGCATTATAGTAATGCAAAATCCAAGAATTGGCCTTCCATCTTTTGCGACGGATACTCTCTTTCAAACGCCTCATAACGCCCAGATAATATTCTTTGTTGACGACTTTGATTTTTGATCAACTGTGACGTGCTTTTTTTGTCTCGGCTCATTAGAAAAGCGCCATTCCGAAGCTTGTTGGTTCGTTTGCATATCAAACTCGTCACCCGTTATGATGCGTTGTATGAAGGTACAGTTCGAATTAGCTCGTTCAAGCATGTCTTCAGCAACATGTTTGTGATGCTCTTTTTGAAGAAAATTCAGCTCTTTTGGAACCAGCCGTGCTGCGACACGTTTTATACTAAACTATCAACTAAATGGTGCAAACTGATTCGTGAGATATGTTTAGTTCATATGCAGGCTCTCTCAAGCACCATTTCCTTCACTTCTTCAGTTGAAGACGTTGAAGGACGTCCAGAACGTGGCAAATTATCAACCACTTCTCGACCATGTTTGAAGGCTTTGTAACATTCGTATGCTTCAACTTTCGATAAAACTGAATTACCATACGTTTTCCCCCCAACATATTCAACTATTCAGCACAAGAAATTCCGTTGGTAGCACAAAATTCTAGGCAAACTCTTTGTTCAATAACATTATCCATAGTAAAAATCGTGAAACACACTTTAGGTGGGCTGACAGAGTTAACAGCTGTGAACAAACTACTTAACAGATCGCGCTCGAGCTTCACGTCAGAGTAGAGTACAGTGCTACCAACTTTCCATCAAAATAGAAATTTAAATCTACTTTACGCAGACGTAGAATTTTTAAAAGACAAATTCCGGATACTTTTTTTGACAGAATGTACTTATAGTCAATTTGAAAGCAAATATAACTATGAACTTATGTGCTCTACACAAACTGTTATTTTGTTTCTAATATTTTGAATAATGAATCCTTATAATGACCCAATGCAAAATTATATAAATTCAGAAATTGCAGAATTGAATAATTTAGTGTTGAACAGTAGCAGGATATTTTGCGGTCGTTGAAAAAAATTAAACTCTTAGCTTAATGATGATGGTATTCCAACATTTTCACTCGAGACTTTGCAATATATCTTGTAATGCTTTGGCAGATTCGTTTAATCTCGTATTGGTATTTTCTCTTCTATCTAAAATTGTTACGGTGTTTAAGAAAGGCGAATTACTATCTATAAATGTTTTGAAATGCTTTATATTTTTTTCATATCACTGAGTATCAACAGAAATTTTTTCAAGATCGATCGGTAGTAACTAATTTATTTTGTTTAACTGAGTTTGTTTCTTCTACTGATGAGGGGTGTCAATCCGATGTTATTTACACAAACTTTTCAAAAGCCTTTGATAACGTTAACCACGGGATATTTAATTGCGTTTTTTTGGCTTTCCTGTGCATTTATAAACCTGATTGAATCTTATTTCTCCAACAGATGTCAATATATAATGTATCGAGGTCATAAATCTACAGATAGGAGCTACTTCAGGAGTACCTCGAAGTTCTATCCTTGGTCCACGTTAATCAATCTATTTATAAATGATATAGTTAATAATTTAACGGTAAATATTAGAGGAATTCTACTACTCAATATTTGCAATATTTACAACAACGTGTCCACTTTTACTGACATGTTTGTTGTAAAACAAAATAAAACAGAACACTCTTTTCTTTGCACAACATTTTTGACCTGCATTTTAATTTTTGTTTTGTTGTTAGTAGTTTTTTGTGTGTATCATATTCAATTTCGTTATTGTATCTATGTTTTTATTTATATTAGTTTAATCTTGTCTATTCTGTTATTGTTCCGAACCCTATTCAGGTTTGTATTTTTATGTTTGTGTCAAATGGAGAAATACCCATAAATAAATTTCAGAATCTATCGAGTGGAAGACTTAGCTTCATCTCCCCAAGACGAATCAAACGAAGCGTTATTCACTTCTCTACGATCCCATCTACGTAACTATCATCAAAGTTGATCAGAAGCGCCAATTGAAGAGTAATTTTTTATGGTTCTTGCACAATTTTAGTTTTCAGTCAATATTTGGCTCATTCCAATTGGTTTATCCGTTTGAAAGTTACGACCAGAGAGATCGTTTCATATTTTCTTATACCTCAATTTCCAGGATGACCCACCTACACAAACCCTTTTATAGATGTGTACATATAAAACATATTAACATCTTCAGGGTTCGTGACCACCACCAGAGTGACCCATGCAACTCCCAGTGCTCTCTACGCCCACATTCCCAACAGAAACTGGGAGTGCGAGAGTAAAATCCCCGCAGCTTCTTCGAGCTGCAAGGACATAGCAAGGCAACTAATCGAAGACTCGCCCGGCAAAGAAATAAACGTAAATCGTATGTTACTGTGGTAACTTCGTGAAACAGCAAACTATTTTAGGTAATCATGGGTGGTGGAAGACAGTGCTTGCAGTCACAAGTGAATGGTTCAGACGCTGATCCTATAGATACTTGGTCCTGCTACAGTGAAGACGGTAGAGATTTGATTGAAGACTGGAAGGCGGACAAAGCGAACAGATCAGTGTCTCACCAGTTTATAAGCGATAACCTAGAATTAGAAAATGTAGATCTTGACGCAGATTTTACTTTAGGTGAGGAAAATGTATCTATACAAGAAGTTTTTCTGTAATTGTATATCAAACTTTTTGAATATTTTTTGTAGGTATATTTGCGAACGGTCATCTAAAACTGGATTATGAAAGAGACACTGGGCCTAACGGAATGCCATCTTTGACCAATATGACGGAAAAAACTATCAGGCTGCTGCAGAAAAATAGCAACGGTTTCTTTTTAATGGTAAGGTAATTCAGGTAATTGGAATATTCTGTTGAACTGATTGAAATTGATTATACAATTCAAATAAGATCCACTTCTTATTTGTGGAAGGGCGAAATGGGCGGTGACTATTAGACGCCTTCATTATAGCCATCTTTCTCTATCGCACGGATTTCTATGACTTTCTTTATCGCTCTCACGTAACGGCCGATGAACCATGGGGATTTTCCGACTCTGTATTTATTGATGTATTTATCATGTATTTATACAGGGTTCCCCATATTAGACTATGCAGTTTAAAAGTGGAATAAAAACTTTCTGATCAAAGTAAATTAACTTTTTAATGGACTAATATGTAGCTAATTTTATGGGATTTATAACCAAAATAAATAATAAGTCAATTTTTAAAGATCATGTCTTCCAAATGCCCTCCTTCGACTTCAATGCAATTTTGCATTCTAAGTTCAAAATTTTGCATCACTCGACGCAGCAAATCTCCATTTATTTCTGCAATTTTATTTTGAATCTGCTCTTTCAACTCCAGAATTGTTGCTGGACGACTTGCATAAACTTTTTGCTTCAGGTATCCCCAGAGAAAAAAATCTGGGGCCGTTAAATCGGGAGATCTCGGGGGCCAATTCAAATTTCCAAATCGGGAAATTATACGGCCATCAAAAAAATCTCGCAAAATCCTCATAGTGTTTCTGGCTGTGTGAGCTGTAGCTCCATCTTGTTGGAATAATATGGCACCATTTAGTAGTCCCCGTCTAGTTAGTTCGGGGATAAGAAACGTTTGCAACATGTTTATGTAGCGCTCGGAATTAACTGTAACAGGACGGTTATTTTCATCCTCAAAAAAATAAGGACCGATAATTCCAAATGATGCTACACCACACCACACAACGACTTTTAGACTGTGGAGGTTTTTGGTAAACAGTTCGTGAGGATTTTCTGCTCCCCAGTACCTAAAGTTTTGCTTGTTAACAACACCGTCCAAATGAAAATTTGCTTCGTCGCTCATTAGCAAATTATGTATTCCTCCATGGTGCTGATTTAAAAATTCTTGACAAAATGTCAACCTCGCTTCTTTATCTGTATCACTGAGGTGATGCGCCATTTGGTATTTATAGGGGTGAAATTTTAAATCTTTATGCAGAATTCTGTGGAGACTTCCCTTGGATATTCCTAGGGCAAGTGATTGCCGATTAGCAGATCTCTTAGGGCTTCTTGTGAAGGCAGCTCTCACTCGTTCAATATTTGCAGGCGTACGCACCGTTCTTCGACGTCCAGGTTTTTTAATGTTTTGCACAGAGCCATTTTCACGCCAATGACGAACCCATGCCGAAATTGTAACGCGTGTTGGTGCATCGCCCCTATTATTATTTCCAAACTGCCGTCGAAATGCACGCCGAACTTCTTCCACTGAACCAGTTCTAATGTAGACTTCCACGGAAAACACACGCTCTTGAATTGAATAATTCATAACGCAATGAAAATTGTTAAAAAATGAAAATTAAATTAAGTTGTGACATTTGTGACTAAAACAATGAAGTGTTTACTTTTGTCGTTGCTTAGAGACAGGCGCCTACTTGTTAAAATGTGATCCTAATGGTGTAGCATCATTTGGTAATATTGGTTTGATTTGCTTCGTCGAGTAATGCGAAATTTTAAACTTAGAATTCAAAATTGGATTGAAGTCGAAGGAGGGCATTTGGAAGATATGATCTTTAAAAATTGAATTATTATTTATTTCAGTCATAAATCCCATAAAATTAGCTACATGTCAGTCTATTAAAATGTTCATTTACTTTGATCAGAAAGTTTTTATTCGACTTTTAAACTGCATAGTCTAATATGGAGAACCCTGTATAAAAACCAGAGGTAGGTATTTGGGAAAATCACGTTTTGATTTAAAATTCACCACCCTGCATATATTCTTATTTTGATCATCTAAATTCAAATTTCAATTTTTGTCAATTAAACCTTAAACACCCCGTATCTAAAAACAAAGTTTGAGCATACCCCATCCCAACTGGGTCGATTATTAAAGTTTCTAAATTAGAAGCTCCAGATATTTAAGAAAACAAACACAAATGGGAGTTATGTAAATTATTTGAGAGGGCAATTTTCTTTCTGCGTAAATTTCGCTCGAGATGAAATTAAGGGAATAGAATTAACGATAGTTTTTCTCCTCCTAGGTGGAAGGGGGGATGATAGATTTCTCCCACCACCGAGGCCACGCCAGGCAAGCGCTGGACGAGACGGTCGCCTTCAGCGATTGTATCGAGAGGGCCCTGGAGATTACCGACCCCTCGGAGACGCTGATAGTGGTCACCAGCGACCACTCGCACTCTATGGTCTTCTCCGGCTATCCAGACAGAGGAAGCAGCGTCTTATGTAAGGAAGTTCACTAGGACGTGTCAAATTTTCTCTAAAAATGCATTGCCGCAAAATCAGATCGGAGGAATAGGATACTTTGTTCTGTTTAATTTTCATGAAAAAGATTGATAAAAAATTATACTCATTCTTGGTCAAATTTCTATCGTGAAAAATACCTCTGCCTGTTGATATACAGAGTATTTCATTTAAAACTTACTTTCTGAGTATAATGATATTATTTTTTGATGACAAATATTTTGAAAAGTGAAAAACTGTTATATTCTGTGGAACTTTTGTAATATAATAAATTCCGAAAATTCTCCTGTTCCACAAATATTAGGTACATTAAATTATTAGTATTATTTTTTATTATATTTTGGATCATAGAAGCTTTGGAACTTTGTCATATTAAAATCTCCAGATTAAAATACTAATAAAAATCAGTATCCAGGTTCTAGTTTGAAAGGGAATTATTTTAGTTCAGTGCTTAAGCCTTCAAAAATAGTAAAAAGTGAAAAAAAAATTATAGTAGGAGGAAACCCATTGGAAAAGGAAGGGAATATAACAGAAATGAACAGAAAAATAATTTACGGGCGATCTGAGGTCGGGAAGGGGAAGGGGGTGAGTTTTTAAGGGTAAAAAACGGTTTATCTTGATTTCCGGAAAAACTACAAGTCTTATGGAAAAAAGTTAAAGGGCAAAGTTGTAGGTAATAAAAAGATCTGCAACTTTTGTATTTACACTTTTTTCACATAACCTCAAAATTTATGTGAAAAATTCAAATAACCAAGTTTTTGGTTTTTTATTTTTATCTTTTACAAACAAATTTTTTTTTCACGAAATTTGGTGAAAACTTACCTATTTATGTCCCAAACACGCTGTAATTTTTTTAATTTGATATATTTATTTTTTCACCTTATTTTTACTTAATATCGAAAAAGCACCCTAATTTTCAATCGAAAATTCTCACGTCAAAATATCTGCTTTTTTAAAAACGTCGGTGGGCTTTTTCTTCGTTGAAATCTCTCCTTTCTGATGGTGTAAAAAAAATATACATTACTATGTAAGTTTTCTCAGGAAATGCAAAGAAACGAATTAGAATCCGAAATTTTTTTTCTAATTAATATGTACAATTTTGAGCTATTTATTAAAATTTACACTTTAATTACTCGAAAAACGTAAGATTCTGTGTTACATTGATAAACAAAAAAATTACAAGTCGAAATATACTATTATAATTAACAACCAAATAAGTTAATAAAGTTAATATTTAATAAGACATCTACAATATTTTGAGAAAGTTGTAGAATCTTCTTTCGTTTCTTTGCATTTCCTGAGAAAACTTACCATAGTAATGAATATTTTTTTACACCATCAGAAAGTAGAGATTTCAACGAAGAAAAAGCCCACCGACGTTTTTAAAAAAGCAGATATTTTGACGTGAGAATTTTCGATTGAAAATTAGGGTGCTTTTTCGATATTAAGTAAAAATAAGATGAAAATTAAATATTTCAAATCAAAAAAATTACAGCGTGTTTGGGACATAAATAGGTGTTTTCACCAAATTTAGTGAAAAAAAATTTTTTTTGTAAAAGAAAAATAGAAAACCAAAAACCTGGTTATTTGAATTTTTCACATAAATTTTGAGGTTATGTGAAAAAAGTGTAAATATAAAAGTTGTAGATCTTTTTATTACCTACAACTTTGTCATTTAACTTTTTTCCATGAAACTTGTAGGGAACCAAGGGAAACCGTTTTTTACCCTTAAAAACTCACCCCCTTCCCCTTCCCGACCTCAGATCGCCCGTAAATTATTTTTCCTTTCATTTTTGTTATATTCTCTTTCTTTTCCAATGGGTTTCATCCTACTATAATTTTTTTTGGTTTCAAAAATTATCGACCCTGGTCTATTTGCTTTTTATTTTAACGAAAAATGATGATCAGAGCAAGCTGCATGATCTGCACATTTTTTTGCAGATCTTAGACCTGAGTAGTTTTAAACAAAGAAACCCGTAAAAGTAAAAAACAGAATTACAGAGTTGGTTAAAGTTTCGTATATGCAGCGTGTTCAGATTTGATCTAGGACAATCCTGTTAAATGAATCATGCGATTTTAATGATTTGTTATAAAGGGTATTCAGTAAATGATGGTATCACTTTTAACAGATGATAGAAAAATTAAATTTAAGCAAAAAGTTTCATGGGAACATTGTGGCTTACTTTCCGAGATTTAAGGTGTTAGAGTAAAAAACAGAAAATTTGATATCCCCGAAAGTACATTTTTTCCAGAAACATACCCAAATTTTTTTTTCCTTATAAAAAGCTCTCTTTTTTCTAATAAACTTTTATTAGAGAAATTTTTCTGTATTACTACCCGTTTAAAAGTTATAAGCAATATCGTCCTAAAGAGTCTCAAAAGAAATACCTACCACCTAGAAACCACATTAGCGGTGGAAGGATCAAGTAGTCGTTGGAAAATAATTGAATTGGGTATGTTTCTGGAAAAAATATAATTGATGCCGTCATTAGTCGTTTCTGTCAAATCCCAAAGATAATACTTTCGATTGAAAATGAAGCTTACCTCATCCCATTTAACACCACGTGTCTCAAATTTTATTTAAATTTTTTGTATCCTCACTGTAGGCCCATACTATCGAGTTTGAGACACCTTGTATAAGAAATAGGTTAGCCATACTTAGTATACATTTTCACAATATTTCCACTGGCGGAGATATGGGTAACTAATATCATAAATATGGCAAAGAAAGTTGTATCGCCCTGTACACTAATAAATTAGAGAGCAGATCTCAACGCATTCTTCAATTATACAAAATTGCTTTTTTCTTCAAAAGTATACTGTACCTCTATCATAACTGTATTTTGAATTGTTTCTTCTTCATCTCTAAAAAAACTGCAAATATGATTTAGTCGATTTAGTCATTATTTTTCAGCTACTATCGAGTCAGCGATGGATCAAGTGCCATACACCTCGCTTCTTTACGGGACAGGTGGACCAAATAATTACCAGTTCGTAGTCGAAAACGGCACAGTTGTCAGACCAGATCCCACGATTGAAGACACGGAAGACTTCACCTACTCCCAGCAGGCCGTGGTTTTGACAGATGAAGTCACGCATAGCGGGACAGATGTCTTAGTTTATGCAAATGGTAACTGTAGTGTAGTAGTTCTCTTTTACGCAGGGTGTAATCTGGAATGGGGGTCATATTGATACGCAGGTTACAGACAATCGCGCAAGTAAGCCGTCAGCGCATACACACTTGAGAGCTACGGCATGCATTGTTGTCAAATAGTCGAATAGAAAGGCGAGAAATATAGTTTTATTATTAAAAAGCAAATTTGGCCTGTTACTTTTGTTGTGTGTGTTTTTAAAATCAGAGGAAAAAATATATTGCAAAATCATACAAAAGCATCTATTTCTTCAAAATTAATTTCACACAATTTGTTTAAGAAGTAATAAGAGGCAACGCTGATAAGCTGGCTGATACAACTGAGTTCTGGCGTTGCCCAGTGCCGGCGGAGACAAGAATTTAAGTGCAGTTTAATAAACGATCGACTATTTATTTGATTATTTATTTGACAATAAAAACATAATTTCAGGCAACGTCAGCCTCTAGTCCTGAAATAGAGAGCTTGGAAAATATATAATTTTTTTGTAGTATATTTTTTATGGTCTTAAATTCCTATGACAAAGCCCTGTGTGCGCCACTGCGGCTGCCATCGGCAGGCTACACCCACAGCTCTTTTTGTTGAAACCTCCTTTATACTAATTTATCTTTTAGGTCCTATGGCACATCTATTTAATTCTGTTCACGAGCAGACTTACGTAACTTACGTGATATGTTACGCTGCCAAGATCGGACTATATCAAAATAACTCGAGCACGGTTGCCCTTTGTTTCTACATTATGTTAGCTCAATTTATGGCCTTGCTACTATACAGGTGACTTTGGATGTAGATGTAGTAGTCAATTGTTGTAAGCATAAAAAGCGATTTTTTAAAACTGTCTACTAAAACTAATTGTAGTTGAATTTTATACTATAGTGTTTTACGTAAGTATTTGATAAATAAAAGGTTAAATTGAAACATGTTTGTCAAATTTTTTTATTTTAAATGAAACATCCTGTGTATGATTGCATTTTTGCAAAGAGTCTACAGTTTCATGCAATATTCTCCCGACATAATTGTACAGGAAACTGTTTAACCAAATATAATGAAAAATTTGTTGGGCGAGTATTATTTTTAAATCACCCTCACTTATTTTGGACATTTCGTCAAAAATGAAGAATCAATATCATTGCAACAAAAAAATTAAGATGAATTGAGAAATGTTAGATGCTCCAGAAAAGCGTGGTCGCCAGGAGAACAGGTCTTATTGGCGTCGGCGGGCCGGCGGGTCTCAGCTGGTGGGTCTCAACTAGGACAGGAGGAGGCCCCGCGAAGTGAATTAATTTCAACACTGTATATCCTAATTAATCATTTATTTTATGAGTGATTTATTTTTGCACTGAATATTTAGTTAATTAAAAACCAAGTCTGAGTAAAAAATGACTCAATAATAGTTAAACTTAAATCATATTACAGAAAAAGTCAACTCTAATTGGTATCATATACTCAGGATAGAGTCAAAAGTCGCTCAATTGATAGTTTGCAGTAACTCGAATTTGAGTAAAACTCACTAATTTGAGTGAAATTTGAGTGAATTTTTTTTACAGTGTACAGCAATCTGAATGCCATAAAGAGATAATATGTAATTTAACGTTTCTTTAAACATTCATTACTCTGCCATTTTTTAGTTGTAGAGCCGATCTTGTGCACAAAAGTAGTGAATTATATGTACTTTAAGTTTGCACAGAACAGGCGTTGTTGGACCATTAATTTTAACACGATTGCAATTTGAATTTTTTGGTGCACTATTTTGCAAAATCTCTGGATGCGTTGGAGGTCCGATTTTAATTTTTCAGCCGGATTTTAAAAGTAGAACTTTAAAACTACAAAACGTATATTCTAAATTTTGCGAAATAGGTGAAAAATTCCTCCAAACATGCTCAAAAACGGCCGAGCGCGCGTACGCGGTCAAGTAGTGGGGGAAGATCAGGAGATGAGGGGCAGTGGATATATAGGTATACAATTTTGAATATTGTTAGTTATAGTATAGTTTTTATTGTAAAATCGTTCATAAACAACTTACAAAATGTAATAAAATTTTCTTAACGGTGTACAATGACACCTAAATATGTATTCTTTGGAACAGAAAAGTATATTTTGTAACAAAACATTCAAATTCACGTTTGATGTCCAGATTTCGCGTAAATCTCAAAACTAGACTATTTGTCCTCTGAAGATTTTTGAAAAACCGCTTTGTTCGGAAGATACAGGGCGAGAAAAATTTTGGAAAACCAATTTTGATATTTTTCAAAATATTAATGTACTCGAAATAAAAGTATGGCGTATTACGCTGGGTTTGCCGAGTATACATTTTTTTTAAAGAAAAAAAAAGGAAGAGAAACCACTTTGAACGTGGATTTCATTTGAATACGTCTCGCGATTGATTAGTTAGAAATATTTCTCAATCTATCCATTTCAAGTAACGCCTCTGCTACTAATCGTTGAAGAGTGCCCTCATGAGTAAAGATCGGGGTTTTCGTCGGCTAGTCATAGGCGTGTTTGTCGTAAATAGGTAGGTATAAATAAAAATAAATAAATTTGTGTAATTTATCAGCGAAAGGTCGTTTTTTACCCCTTGGAGCGTTCGACATTATTAGAATACTAAAACACGTATACACGAAGCAAACGCGAAGTCATAACTGCCGTTATTACCGGTTTCGTTCGGTGCGCTGTAGAGAAAGGCCGACGCGACGGCTATGATCTTCCGACCGAGTCCCGAGCTCTACTCATGAGGGGACGATCCTGAATCAGAGTGAAGATCATGTTTAGTTTTCAAAATTAAACGTATTTGCCAAGTTTCGTGTACGTGAGAACCTTCTGCTTTTAATATACAAGACGTCAAATGCGATTTTTATAAATCAAATTATAGTTAGGTATATCTTTTCGAAAAAACAATGTAATATATTGACATTTGGTACAGATAAGTTTTTGTGGCTGTTGAATACGTCAGCACGAACATCTGCTAGATGTCTCCAGCTATATTTTATGACATAACTTTTTGAGGTTAGGTTTTTTACGATGCATTAACTGCGATGTAAGTATTAATATTTCCATTTATTTAAAAAAATGCTCTTCTTGAAATCGCTCAAATCCCATCGTTGTTTAATAAAAACGTCACTGACTGTCCCGAAGTTAACCAGCTTCTACTAAAACAGGATGTCCGGAAATAGAAATCAAAAGGCTACTTAAATATTCCGTTGGCGCCGGATCTAACTTTTTCCTTTTCCCGCATTATGAAGCACATAAATTCCGTTTCAAAGCGCAACCGTACCGAAGTGATCTAAGCAGATATAACTAAAATATTACGTACAGAAGTGCACCGCAAAAGGAGGGACGCACACCGAATGCACATAAATGAAATAAAGAACGGCGTTAGAGTGCCCCCGCGCGATTCAATGGGCCTTAGGAGAGTCGCTGAACCCATCCATTAAGATTTTTTAAACGCGCAACCCCCTTATTTCTCCATTACGATTATCTCCGACAATAACTTTTTCTTAACCGCAACATTTTTCGCATTGTTACGGAATCGGACGGCAGGCACGACCGCCCTTTGTTTTTTTCTATTTGTGGTGGTCGGACGACGTTTATATCGCGTCTCTGTGGAAGGGGAATTAGGAAAGATACCCAGAGAACGTGGTGTGGGATAGAGAATGAGGATCCGGCAAATAAATATTATTTCAGTAATTCGTTTGAAAAAGAAAGTCGAATGCGACATTACAACGAATAATAAGAATTTAGGATACATTAAAGCAAGAACAGAAACAAAATTAAGAGTTGTGAAATTAACTTAGCGTTCCCACTGTCATTTGTTTCACATATATTACGATAAATCATAGATTTATCTGCACAGATAAAACTGTGCAGATTTATTTGACCAGTGGATGGGAAATCGTTTGGTTTGCGCAGATATTTGATACATACGTGAAATAAATCGTAGCAATTTTTAAGCGTACAGTTAAATCTGGAGATTTAGCTGCTCATATCAAGCTACGCAGATTCATGTAACTTATAGCCAAGAAATTTGTTGGTTCACGCATATATTTATGCCATATACAGGGTGTATCTAAATAACACCGAAAAAATTCAAGGGGCGATTCTCCGATAAATATTAATAGGGGTCTTTGGTATAAAATTTTTTGAAAAAACCCTCCCCTGAAAAGTTACGCCCCTCCTAAAATTACAAAAAAAAATTGTTTTTCTTTTTTATCTTCCATGTACATCAAGCTAAAGAAACCAAACTTGGTGAACATTATCTGTCAATAAAACTACACTTTTTGAAATTTTTTCAACCCTGAACTATTTTTGTAAGGGGTTGAAATAATCAACCCCTATGACATTTTTTCT